CTCGAGTGGATAAATATCATATCACACTCAATGATTTATAATTATAGCTAAATCAATGACCAGATTAATGAAATATGTCAATTTCGTAAAACTTTATGTATAAGTGTTTTCATGACATCACAAATAACAAAAATTCAGACTTTCAACAAACTTGATTGAAAACTTGTCAATATTAGATAGGAGACAATACAACTTGTATGTTGACAATAGAGAACTTTAAACATCAAATTGACCTTTCTGACTTTGATATTAAGTATATGTTGAACCCTAAGCTCTGTTTTCAATTGTATTAATCTTGTGGAAACCCGGACGATTTCTCAACTTATTTTTATGCCCCATTTATTTTTTCTGATCTGTTCATCCGTTCCTCTGTCTGTCCCGCTTCAGGTTCAAGTTTTTGGTCAAGGTAGTTTTTGATGAAGTTGAAGTCCTATCAACTAGAAACTTAGTACACATGTTCCTTATGATATGATCTTTTTAATTTTAATGCTGAATTAGAGTTTTTACTCCAATTTCAAGGTCCACTGAATATTGAAAATGATAGTGCGATTGGGGCACTTGTGTATTATGGACACATTCTTGTTTTTGCGTGTTTTGTAAATATCCACACTTAAGAAAACATGCATATAAACTTGAAAAAAGCCTGTTTTTAACTTGCTTCTTATTTGGCTATAATAGCTGAAACAGTGAATTATTTCTATTTATTTTCTTTGTTACTGTAAATTTAGAAATTGTTAATATTTTTTTAAAATGAATAATTTAGTACTTTCTTTAAAAATCACAATTATTAATTGATGTAATAATTTCTGAATTTACAGTATCTCAATGATTTAAATTCATAATCAAAGTTTGTATAGTTTGACATGTGAATGTTATGTTAAAAAAAAGTGGGAAAGCAGAATATGTATTATATTCAATTTATTATACTTCAGTGTGAGGACCTACGTGGACAACCAGATGAACAGGCGTCTCCGACGAGTTGGTATGCCATACGGCTATGTGGCTCCACGAGTAGAGGCACCACGATGCTCTCGTCGTCTTTTAGGGTTGGAGCCTGAACCAGTACTTGTCCCAGTTGCCTCTCTTGAGCTGCCAAGAAATGATCAACCTGAACATTTCGAAGCAGTCGTACCTCGTGCACGATTATTCTCCGTCATGGTTCCTGAAGCAGCTATTCAAATTGCTGCTGAAGTTATCATTGACGAGGATGATATGGTCGAGGTGGAGTTAGCTGGCGAGGAGCTCTCGGTTCTGGAGTCAACTCTGGAGGAGGAAGAGGTCATGGAGCTGTCTGTGGAGGCCTCTGTGCTGTGTGGTATGGACACAACGGTGGAGGACCCAGCCTACTGGTTCCTGGAGGAGACTGTGTCTTTCTTGCCAACAGAGGAGGAGACTGTTGTGTTCGAGGAGGTAGTGGATGAGGATGCAACAACCAACCACGCTGAAGAGACTGTCTGGTATGGTCCTGAAGAGGTTGAGGTTCCAGCCACTCCAGTCACACCGTATGTTGTTATAGGTAATGATGTAGGTGTTCCTTTGGACTGGGAGGTGATCCCTGCTCCAGTGGTTGAGGTTGCTCCTGTCCCTGAGGCAGCTGGGAGGTTTGCTGGGTGGAGACAGGTGGCTAGAGTGCTAGAGTGCTAGGCTGCCTTGTTACTTCATACCAAACTGTCTCAGCTGTCTAATTTTTTGGTTAATTTTTGATAAATACATATACATTTTGTATATTTTCTTTAAAAAAGAAATTGGAAAAGTATAAACTTTTGCTTTAGTTTAAAAAAAAAGTTTGGAAAAGTATAAATTTTTGTTTTAGTTTAAAAAAAAATGTTTGGAAAAGCTAATTTTTGAAACTTGAAATTTTTGTTTTGATTTATGGTCATTCAGTTTATTTTTGAAAGATTTTCATTCTTTGCTAAGTAACACAATTTCTTCAAAACTTCAAAATGAGTGTTTTAATAATTTTGGCTATTTAATCATTAAAGTTTTATGAAAATATTTTGTTTTAATTTAAATGAATTTTTAATGTTTAATTTACTTAACTTGGAAATTTATAAAGAGTGTGTCTGTCTTTTTGTAACCACTGTTCTTTTTATCCAACACATGTTAAACTTTCAGGCTGGACAACTGTCAAAATGGATCTCCATAATTATCGTCAGGTCAAGGTCAATCAGTATAGATATCCAATCATTTCAGGTCAACATTTTCTTTTAAAGGTTGGTCATAGGTTAGAGGTTAAAAGTTCAGGTCAACATTGACAAGAATAAAATCTTCATTACTCCTTTAAAGGGTAGAGGTCTCATAGATTTAAGATCAAACTATTTGTAAGAATGGTTATTTGTAAGGTCAAAGACATGCAGTGTCAGGTCAAGGTCAATGTTTACTTCTACAGAATGATTAAATCTGTTAGCAGGATCACAGATATGATTAATTGCTTAAAAGCAACAAGCACATGTAAGAAGCATATTCCTGCTAAACAGCTTTAAATATATGTGTACCTATTTTCACAAAAATAGCTCCCTTCCCCAAGGGTTGACTGGGGTATAAAAATATGGTCATCCCTTGGTCTTCTTCTGACCGGCAGTAAAACGCTTGCAAAAGATTAGCCACCGTTAAGTTAATACATAGCCACATCCTGTTAAAATTTAAAATTTAAAAGTTGCATGATTGATACCAGAGTAACTTTTAACCTGAAGTGTGACAGACGAACGAACAGACAAACAAAAGAACGGACCAACAAACAGACGACCGGGTAAGACCAGAAAACATAATGTCCATGTATGGGGCATAAAAATCCAGCATAACAGTGCAACATTCCATTTAGCTTTTGAAATTTTGATGAAAAATACAAAATATTTCCTTTGACTCATTTAAAACATTAAATTGTCACCACCCTTTAGAAAGAAAATGAACATTAAAGTCCCCTACATAAATTTCATAGTTTAAATAAAGGAATTTTTTCAGTAATTTTCACTTCTGGATGAAAAGATAAAATTACCACTTCTGTTTTATAATTCATTGAGAGCATTTATAGAAAGTAGCAGATCAGAAGTAAAACAAAAAAAGAAAATATCACTAATTTCCTATTAAACATACCAAAAATTTCGCATTTGTTCATTTTAACCTTGACCACTCTTTTAAAATTTAAAAAAATATTAAAAAAGGTTTCTGTATCTTAATTTGGCAGCTTCTGATAAATAATAGAATATATTTGGTATACATCAATGAGGGATACTTAACAAACAACAAAAACAAGGCGTCTTTAGGTCAACATAGTCTTCAACAAAGATAGGCATCTATACAATATGTTTAGTGTTTATAGTTCAAAATTAGTCGACAAAATTTACTAAATATCTATAAAGAAAAAAGTCGACAAATTTACTAAATATTTTTAAAGAAAAAAGTCGACAAAATTTACTAAATATCTTTAAAGAAAAAAGTCGACAAAATTTACTAAATATCTATAAAGAAAAAGTCGACTAAATTTTACTAAATATCTATAAAGAAAAAAGTCAACAAAATTTACTAAATATCTATAAAGAAAAAAGTCCACAAAATTTACTAAATATCTTTAAAGAAAAAAAGTCCACAAAATTTACTAAATATCTTTAAAGAAAAAAGTCCACAAAATTTACTAAATATCTGTAAAGAAAAAAGTCCACAAAATTTTACTAAATATCTATAAAGAAAAAAGTCCACAAAGTTTACTAAATATCTATAAAGAAAAAAGTCCACAAAATTTACTAAATATAAAGAAAAAAGTCCACAAAATTTACTAAATATCTATAAAGAAAAAAGTCCACAAAATTTACTAAATATCTTTAAAGAAAAAAGTCCACAAAATTTACTAAATATCTATAAAGAAAAAAGTCCACAAAATTTACTAAATATCTATAAAGAAAAAAGACGACAAAATTTACTAAATATCTTTAAAGAAAAAAGTCCACAAAATTTACTAAATATCTATAAAGAAAAAAGTCCACAAAATTTACTAAATATTTTTAAAGAAAAAAGTCCACAAAATTTACTAAATATCTATAAAGAAAAAAGTCCACAAAATTTACTAAATATCTATAAAGAAAAAAGACGACAAAATTTACTAAATATCTTTAAAGAAAAAAGTCCACAAAATTTACTAAATATCTATAAAGAAAAAAGTCCGCTAAATTAACTAAATATCTATAAAGAAAAGAGTAGACAAAATTAGCTAAATATCTTAAAAATAATAATAAAGCAAAATAATTAAAAATTCTTTTTTCTTGCAATTAAATAAGTTTAAAGTTTTTAATTCAGCAAAAGATTTGGGCTTTCAACAACTTGATGTGAATGATATTGCATTATTATAGTGTCTGAGTACAACATTATTACATATCTTGCTGGGTTAAAATTTCTTTTTTTACAAAAATATAAAGTATATCCAAAGTTAACACTGGCAAGTCAAGTATAACAATGTATCTAACACTGCACAATCTGCATAAACCTGCATACCTGCATAGGATAATTAGCATTGCATATATAAATTAACATGTAAAGCTTATGCTGGCTTGCTGATGTTTTCTTTCATTGTTCTATTTAATTAACCCCTAGCCCAATATAGCAACATCTATTTAAAATTGACCTGGGACTTGGATTTTGGGCAGGTAGGGAGGAATAAGGGAAATACCTTGGCCTGGGATTTTAGGGCTTAAAGAAAGGGGAGGGGAAACCCAGGGCCTGGTGTATTTGGGGAGATAAAAAAAGGGAGACGGTTACATCCACGGCCTGGTGAACTGGGGGAGATAAAAGAGGGAATGGGGAAAGAGTTGCTGTCCATTGAATGAAGTAAGTTATGTGTTAATGTTGTATTCACATTGTTGTGATGATTTTATTGTTGCTTTGAAGTTTGTGGAGCACAAATACCCCAGTACTTTTGGATAAAAATCATATTGAAAAAAATATTCCTGTTTAAACTTTCAGTTTTTAATCAAGATATTCCAGTGTTCAAATTAACCATTTAAGTGGTCTTTCTTAAAGTTGTCAAACAAGAACCAAAGTGTACCTTTTAAACTTTAAAATATCAATTGAACATTTAATTAGAAACCTTTGGTTTAAACATTTATGCGTGTTTCTGAATTCCTTTCATTAAAATTGAGTAAATAAAATCTCACTCTATTTAAGCAATTTTGTGTTGTAAAAAAACACAAAAACATACAATTAAGTACTTGACCTATAGTATAGAAACTTGTTTTTGTTGGAGACTATATTGACCTCTGGGGTCCAGGTTTTTTGTGTTGTTTAGTTGCTGTCTCAATAACATAATCCCTAAAGTCATTTTCAATTAATCATAGACAAAGGACAAATTATAAAAAACCCAGAATAACCAAATCCTTCATATTAACTTATAATAACTGTTAAATTTTCCTTCAAATTAAATATATGTTTCACACATCTCCTTCGTTTAGATAAATTTTAAAGTGAAACAGAGAATGGAAGCCAAATATTTAAAATTTAGATTAATTGAAATAGCCTCCCCTCTTAAAAAAAAATATAGAACAAATTTTAACAGAAAAAAGGGGGACGGAAACCTAAAGATACAGAATTAAAATAAAAGTGATAAAAAGATCCTCCGTCCTTTTCTAAACTTCTTTTTAAAGTTTTAAATTTGGTAAATTAGATGTTCCCTGAATTAAGAGTATCCATGGGAACATGTCCCATTTTTACTAGAAATTAATATACCCATAGGAACATTACGGTACATGTTCCTCTCCAAAGTAATAAAGGTATCCATTGGAACATCACATGCTCCTCTCCAAAGTAATGAAGGTATCCATAGGAACATCACATGTTCCGCTCAAAAGTAATGAAAGTATCCATTGGAACATCACATGTTCCTCTCCAAAGTAATGAAGGTATCCGTAGGAACATCACATGTTCCCCTCCAAAGTAATGAAGGTATCCATTGGAACATCACATGTTCCTCTCCAAAGTAATAAAGGTATCCATAGGAACATCACATGTTCTCTCCAAAGTAATCAAGGTATCCATAGGAACATCACATGTTCCTCACCAAAGTAATCAAGGTATCCATAGGAACATCACATGTTTCTCTCCAAAGTAATGAAGGTATCCATAGGAACATCACATGTTCCTCTCCAAAGTAATAAAGGTATCCATAGGAACATCACATGTTCCTCTCCAAAGTAATGAAGGTATCCATAGGAACATCACACGTTCCTCTCCAAAGTAATGAAGGTATCCATAGGAACATCACATGTTCTGCTCCAAAGTAATGAAGGTATCCATAGGAACATCACATGTTCCCCTCCAAAGTAATAAAGGTATCCATAGGAACATCACATGTTCCTCTCCAAAGTAATGGAGGTATCCATTGGAACATCACATGTTCCCCTCCAAGGTAATGAAGGTATCCATAGGAACATCACATGTTCCTCTCCAAAGTAATAAAGGTATCCATAGGAACATCACATGTTCCACTCCAAAGTAATAAAGGTATCCACAGTAACATCCCATGTGTCTTACCAATGTAAATAAGGTATCCATAGGAACATGGGAGCCTCGGTGGCCAAGTGGTCTAAGTAGTTACTACTGTAATCACTAGCCAGTCAACACTGAGGTTGTGAATTCAAACCCCGCTCGTGCGGGTGCACATAACTCCAATCTTAATTGACTTAGGGTTGTCAGTTTTCCTATTGAAGGTCAGTGGTTTTCTCCAGGCACTCTGGCTTCCTCCACCAATACAAACTGGCCGCCATGAAATAGCCAAAGTAGTGCTTAAAAGTGGCGTTAAAACACCAAAAAATCAAATTCAAATCCATAGGTGCACTGCATGCTCCAAATTTACTGGTATCTGATATCCATTGGAATCCAAATTTAGTTGTTCAGTTTGTATTGATGACAGAATTGGCTTTACAATGAACTTTGAACTCAAAGAAATGGATACACATGTTTCAGAAAAGTAAGTTTGGTACCTATATCTCTTTTCACACTTTTGTTGTTTTTAAATAATTTGTAAATTTTATTGTAAATGTAACATATTTAAGTTGTCAAATTTTTGTGTAAAAAGGGGAATGACCATTTCAAAACTGTTTTTCAATATTTTTGTTAAAGATTTTCAGAAGGAAACAGAAAAATTATTTATAAAAATGTGGATAGTGTCAAATGTGTATATAGTTTTAAGAAAAATAAAAAAAAACAAAAAAATGCATGGGTGATGGTTTTTAATGATTTTAAGAAAAATAGACAAAAAAAAAAAAAAAAAAATGCATGGGTGATGGTTTTTAATGATTTTAAGAAAAATAGTAAAAAAAAAAAAAAAAAAAAAAAAAAAAAATGCATGGGTGATGGTTTTTAATGATTTTAAGAAAAATAGAAAAAAAAAAAAAAAAAAAAATATGCATGGGTGATGGTTTTTAATGATTTTAAGAAAAATAGAAAAAAAAAAGGCTTGGGGTTTAATTATATCGTGATGCAGAAATGGGTCCATTATTTTATCTTGAATTTGGGATTTAATTATATCATGATACGGAATGGATACATTCTGTTAACTGGAATTTGGGGGATTTAATAATATCATGATACAGAATGGATACATTCTTTTAACTTGAATTTGGGATTTAATTATATCATGATACGGAATGGATACATTCTTTTAATTTGAATATGGGGGATTTAATCATATCATGAAACAGAATGGATACATTCTTTTTACTTGAATTTGGGATTTAATTATATCATGATACAGAATGGATACATTCTTTTAACTGGAATTTGGGATTTAATTATATCATGATATGGAATGGATACATTCTTTTAATTTGAATTTGGGGGATTTAATCATATGAAACAGAATGGATACATTCTTTTTACTTGAATTTGGGATTTAATTATATCATGATACGGAATGGATACATTCTTTTAACTAGAATTTGGGATTTATATATATCATGATACAGAATGGAGACATTCTTTTAACTGGAATTTGGGATTTAATTATATCATGATACGGAATGGATACATTCTTTTAACTGGAATTTGGGATTTAATTATATCATGATACGGAATGGATACATTCTTTTAATTAGAATTTGGGATTTAATTATATCATGATACAGAATGGAGACATTCTTTTAACTGGAATTTGGGATTTAATTATATCATGATACAGAATGGATACATTCTAACTGGAATTTGGGATTTAATTATATCATGATACGGAATGGATACATTCTTTTAATTAGAATTTGGGATTTAATTATATCATGATACAGAATGGAGACATTCTTTTAACTGGAATTTGGGATTTAATTATATCATGATACAGAATGGATACATTCTAACTGGAATTTTGGATTTAATTATATCATGATACAGAATGGATACATTCTTTTAACTGGAATTTGGGATTTAATTATATCATGATACAGAATGGATACATTCTTTTAATTTGAATTTGGGGGATTTAATCATATCATGAAACAGAATGGATACATTCTTTTTACTTGAATTTGGGATTTAATTATATCATGATACGGAATGGATACATTCTTTTAACTTGAATTTGGGATTTAATTATATCATGATACGGAATGGATACATTCATTTAACTGGAATTTGGGATTTAATTATATCATGATACGGAATGGATACATTCTTTAAACTGAATTTGGGATTTAATTATATCATGATACGGAATGGATACATTCTTTTAACTGGAATTTGGGATTTAATTATATCATGATGCGGAATGGATACATTCTTTAAACTGAATTTGGGATTTAATTATATCATGATACGGAATGGATACATTCTTTAAACTGAATTTGGGATTTAATTATATCATGATACGGAATGGATACATTCTTTTTACTTGAATTTGGGATCTAATTTTATCATGATACGGAATGGATACATTCTTTAAACTGAATTTGGGATTTAATTATATCATGATACGGAATGGATACATTCTTTTAACTGGAATTTGGATTTAATTATATCATGATACGGAATGGATACATTCTTTTAACTTGAATTTGGGGGATTTAATCATATCATGAAACAGAATGGATACATTCTTTTTTCTTGAATTTGGGATTTAATTATATCATGATACGGAATGGATACATTCTTTTAACTAGAATTTGGGATTTAATTATATCATGATACGGAATGGATACATTCTTTTAATTTGAATTTGGGGGATTTAATCATATCATGAAACAGAATGGATACATTCTTTTTATTTGAATTTGGGATTTAATTATATCATGATACGGAATGGATACATTCTTTTAACTGGAATTTGGGGGATTAAAATAAACCCTTTAAAAAAGTGGGGGTATACTGTTTTACCTCTGTCTGTCTGTCCATCATTTAGTCTGTCAGCATCAACAATACAAGGATTTCTGAAATTTGGTTCAGTGTTGATAAAATGCAGCTATACTGTGCGATGCATTTTCAGATTCATCACTCAACAACTTCCTGTTAACCAAACACTTGTATCATTTACACATGATAGCTAAGGTGGAAATTTTCATCACCTTTTTATCAGGAACTTCAATACAAGGATTTCTGAAATTTGGTTTCAGGGCTGATAAAAGTCAGCTATACTGTGTGAGGAGTTTTTGGATTCGCAACTCAACAACTTCCTGCGTACTGAAGTATATGTTGGGGGTATCCTCAGTGGGCAGTAGCTCACAGTTTCACTTGTTTTACCATGATACGGAATGGATACATTCTTTTAACTTGAATTTTGGATTTAATTATATCATGATACGGAATGGATACATTCTTTTAACTGGAATTTGGAGGATTTAATTATATCATGATACGGAATGGATACATTCTTTTAACTGGAATTTTGGATTTAATTATATCATGATACGGAATGGATACATTCTTTTAACTGGAATTTGGAGGATTAATTATATCATGATACGGAATTGATACATTCTTTTAACTGGAATTTTGGATTTAATTACATCATGATACGGAATGGATACATTCTTTTAACTGGAATTAAATATAATTAAGAGTATACATTTTGATTTCTGAGGATTGTTTTGATATATGTAAGTGAACAGCAACCAACAACACAAACAAAAAAACGTCAAAAGATTAGTTAATACATTTTAAATAAAGATAAATAATGTTAATACCTTTTGTCCTTCATTTGGAAATTTCAAGATATAATAATATGGAAATTTATAAATAAAAGGAATAATGATATATTCCCTTTAAATTTTAATAAAACCATAATTCATGTCTGATGTTAAAGATAATGTTAAAAAATGGTGAAATAATTTTTCAAATTTTCAAATTTTAGATCAAATTGCCCTTAAAAATCAGACGTAGAACATATATGTATCAGCTATTCCTAAACCATTTTACAGATTTTTAAAGGAACTTTCAGAACAGAACATTTAAGATACCAATTTCGTAATGCAAGGTTTATCAGTATAATTTTGGGAATTTCCCAAAGTAAAGGATGTTTGAGAAAGATCTCCAACCCTTCCGGGATACATTATTCTGACTCTAGAGTCAACTAGACTTTGCTCTTACTTTTAAACACTACTTGCTTAAGGGAGAAGCAGCAAATACCCCTTTTAAAGACTTTGGTTTGTCCATACATGGGATAGAGCCCTTTACCTCCAACACATCAGGCAAGCATAGGACCATTGAGGAGGTTATAATTGGTAGTGAAAAGTATTCTTTTTAAAATATTCATATTTATTTTATTTTTGTTTATTTGTTCATTCTGTTGTTCAATTCCTAGTAGTAACAGAAAACATAAATTTTTATATTTGGTTTAAAAATATTTAATTGAAAAGTATGTCTCCATGCAAAATTATCCATCCCTCTACAGGTTGTATCTTAATATAAAAAACATCTTATTCTTAAAGTATCAACACTAACCATTACTAACAATTGGTACTTAATTAAATAGGTTGGAAGGATGGAAGACAAGAGAGGGAGAGAAATGAGAGGGGAGAGGGGAGGGGATAGGGGAGAGAGAATAAAGACTGATGGAGTGAGTTTTCAGATAAGGGTTTAAGGTACTAGTCTTGTAGAGGGATAGGTTTTTAATATCTTCTTTTAGAAAGAGAACTTCTTGTTAACAATATGAATATGAGTAGGAATACAAATCCAGTCTGAAAGTCTTTGTTTTAAAATAATGGGTCTATTACATTTCAAAATTATTTCCAAGTCTGTAAAATTTTTGTGGCCGATCCAGGGGTTGGGGTTGGAACCCCCCCCCCCCCCCCCCCCCCCTTTTAATGATAATACATTTGAATGGGGACATATATTTAAAACCCGCACTTTCTCCTGGGTTGGATCCCCCTTTTTTTAAAGATTGCTGGTTCCGCCCCTGAACCCTTTCTCCCTTCCTATTTGGTAAAGACATATAAGAATGTGTCCATAGTACACGGATGCCCCATCCGCACTATCATTTTCTATGTTCAGTGGACTTTGAAATTGGAGGAAAAAATCTAATTTGGCATTAAAATTAGAAAGATGATATCATAGGGAACGTGTACAAAGTTTCAAGTTGATTGGACTTCATCAAAAACTACCTCATCCAAAAAATTTTACCTGAAGCAGGACGAACGAACGGAGGCACAGACCAGAAATCATAACGCCCATAAATGAGGCATAATAAATGTTTGCATTTGAAAACTCCCTTAATAATTTGTATAACAACAGCCAGTCTCGCCTGTCATAATTCAGTAACTACAAGCTATTTATCTATTCTGGAAAGATATGACTGTTTCAACGCCACTTGTAGTACTCCTGGCTATTACAAGGCTGCCAGTTTTTATTGGAGGAAGCCATATAAATGGCACCTGAAAAAACACCGACCTTCAGTGTCTTTTAATGTTGTCCAAAGTTTCTGTTGAAATGTTTGTACTGGTTTGAGGTATTGCTGATTAAAAGTGTAGATGTCTGAATAAACAAAAAACATCCTTTATCATGTTTTAGATTAAAAAGTAATTATATCCAAATTTCCAATTTAGTTTTGGCACAAACGTTAAAGATAATTGTTGCAGAAGCCCTTTTTATTTAAAGGAAACAATATAAGATTTTAAATTTTGAATCTTCCAAAATAAATCTTTTCAGTTTTGTAAAGTGGTACATTGTGAAATTTATAATTAAAAAAACAAATCTTTTCTAATAATAAGGGACATAACTCTCCAATGGTAAAAAAATACTAAACCCATCAAAATAATGTAAATGCTTAAAGCAGCTTTCAGATTTGTTAGTTTGTAAATACAAAATTAGCCTCCTCCTGGCCAAATGAAACTTAATTAACTTTGTAATAGAATTTTCCATGCCAAAAACACTTTTATTGGATAAAAAATATGAAGTAAACACAGTGACCTTTATAAAGCTTTTTTAGTACGAGAAAAAAAATTATCAAAGATACTTATTATTTGGCCACAACATTTAATAATTTTTTAGACACCTATTATCACAGAATATAATTTTTGCCATCTTAATTATATTGTTAAGTGTGTTGTTGGCATGCTGTCTCATTGAAATATACCTCAGATCCTCTTTTATCTTATTCAAGATTTTCAGAAAAGCAATTTAAAAATCTGTTAAAAGTTTATTCTCTAAATAAATAGAATAATTGGTCCAGTGATCAATGAAGAATGTAAATGAGATGTGGTAAAAATGCCAATGAGATGTGCTTAGAATGCCAATGAGATGTGTTAATACAACTAATGAGATGCGCTAAGAATGCAAATGAAATGTGGTAAAAATGCCAATGAGATGTGGTTATAAAGCTTAAGATATGTTGTAATAATGCTAATGAGATGTGGTAATAAAGCTAATGAGATGTGGTAATAAAGCCGATGAGATGCGCTAAGAATGCAAATGAGATGTGGCTATAAAGCTGATGAGATGTGCTAAGAATGCAAATGAGATGTGGTAATAGAGCTAATGAGATGTGCTTAGAATGCAAATGAGATGTGGTAATAGAGCTAATGATATGTGCTAAGAAAGCTAATGAGATGTGGTAGTAAAACTAATGAGATGTGGTAATAATGCTAATGAGATGTGGTTATAAAGCTAAAGATATGTTGTAATAATGCTAATGAGATGTGGTAATAAAGCTAATGAGATGTGGTTATAAAGCTGATGAGATGCGCTAAGAATGCAAATGAGATGTGGTTATAAAGCTGATGAGATTTAGTAAGAATGCAAATGAGATGTGGTAATGGAGCTAATGAGATGCTCTAAGAATGCAAATTAGATGTGGTAATAGAGCTAATGATATGTGCTAAGAAAGCTAATGAGATGTGGTAATAAAGCTAATGAGATGTAGTAATAATGCTAATGAGATGCGCTAAGAATACTAATGAGATGTGGTAATAATGCCAATGAGATGTGTTTAGAATTCCAATGAGATGTGGTTAGAATGCCAATGATATTTAGTAAGAATGCCAATGAGAACTATCCACCAGAGATTGAGCCACAAGGCTGCAAGAACTATCTTTCTTTCATGTGAATTTTGTGTATACTTTGTATACTTTGTAAGCTCCCCTACAGCTGATAGTTAACATTTTCATCAAATTATGATTTAAATTATCCTTTCTTTAAATAAAATTATTTGGTAATTAAACTTTTTTAAATAAACATTGAAAAAGCTTCTAAATTTTCTGAAAAAATTACATTTAATAGGCACTTTTGAATTTTTTGCCTATTTAAAAAAAAATATACCAGTAATGGCACAAGGATAGAAGATTTGTGGAATCAAATAGGTAACAACTATAGTGATAATGAAATATTCTAATAATAACCAGTTTTTTAATGTCTTGACTTAATGGACTTATTGTATGATGATATATGTGACCAGTTAGAAAAGTGGACAATGAAATATTCAAACATGGAACTTACTGAAGTTAATAAGACTTAAAATTCAAAATTGAAACCAGCAAGTGAATTATTTACAACGGCCTTGGAACCAGCAAGTGAATTATTGACATTTATTTTGATGTGACCAGTATTCATGTGGATGGACAGTACTAGTGGACTACAAACTGATAAATCTCACAGAAAGGCACATCACAACTGAGTCTGAAGCTGTTACATACAAAAGACAAGGTAATTATACTAAAAAAAAAACATGGCAACATTACTCTGTTTACATGTTGCAATTAACCTTATAGCTCTTATTTTATTTTTGGTGTGTTAATTCACTGTGTTTTCAGAAAAGCTATCAAGATAAATGCATAAAGCCAAAGGTCTTCATTAATATATTCTGATAAAGTGTACAACCAAATTTTTTTGCACCGGTAGTTTTTGCATTGGAGCAATAAAAAAAAATTCATCCAGAAAATAGATTTAGTAATACAAACCCCACCACAATGAAGGATATATACACTTACTTGCTCTGAATAGAAAATAAAGGATAAGCAGCTTTGACTCCACTGGTAGCGACTGTTGTGAAAAACTAACATTAAAATCATGCATAACCTTAAAAGAAATAAAAATCTGAAACAGTACTTTAAGTTTGCACAGCCCAGTAAAGTACTTAGTGGAAAATTGTCCTACTTTGACTTGTAATTAAAATTCCATATAAGCATTTTTAATATGACTGTACATGATTTATAGAATAACTAATCGAAGAATTCAAATAGAGAAAAATATTCAACGAGTGACCGAACAACTCATTAATTCACGAATGCGCATAGCGCATGAGTTAATTATCAGTGTTGTTCGGTCACGAGTTGAATATTTTTATATATTTGAATTCTTTGATTAGTTATTCTTTTTATTACATTGGCAAATGGTCTTTTTTTCTGAAATAAACAAGAATATGCAAGGAACTATATATTTTTCTAAGCATTCACAATTTGTTTTGATCCGACGTCATGACAACGCCTATTGTTGTATGACGTCAGAGGAGTGAAATAACCACGTTTATTTCACATGTGAAATTATCGGTTTTTTGTCGAGCCTGCGACTTTTGTCGCAGAAAGCTCGACATAGGGATAGTGATCCGGCGGCGGCGGCAGCGTTAGCTAACTTCTTAAAAGCTTTATATTTTAGAAGGTGGAAGGTCTGGATGCTTCATACTTTGTATATGGATGCCTCATGTTACGAAGTTTCTGTCAGTCACATGTCCAATGTCCTTGACCTCATTTTCATGGTTCAGTGACTACTTGAAAAAAAAGTTCAGATTTTTTGTAATGTTAGATTCTCTCTTATTATAAGTAATAGGATAACTCTATTTGGTATGTGCGTACCTTGCAAGGTCCTCATGCCCGTCAGACAGTTTTCACTTGACCTCGACCTCATTTCATGGATCAGTGAACAAGGTTAAGTTTTGGTGGTCAAGTCCATATCTCAGATACTATAAGCAATAGGTCTAGTATATTCGGTGTATGGAAGGACTGTAAGGTGTACATGTCCAACTGGCAGGTGTCATCTGACCTTGACCTCATTTTCATGGTTCAGTGGTTATAGTTAAGTTTTTGTGTTTTGGTCTGTTTTTCCTATACTGTATGCCATAGGTCTACTATATTTGGTGTATGGAATGATTGTAAGGTGTACATGTCTAGCGGGCAGGTGTCATCTAACCTTGACCTCATTTTCATGGTTCAGTGGTCAAAGTTAAGTTTTTGAGTTTTGGTCTTTTTTTCTAATACTATATGCAATAGTTCAACTATATTTGGTATGTGCGTACCTTGCAAGGTCCTCATGCCCGTCAGACAGTTTTCACTTGACCTCGACCTCATTTCATGGATCAGTGAACAAGGTTAAGTTTTGGTGGTCAAGTCCATATCTCAGATACTATAAGCAATAGGTCTAGTATATTCGGTGTATGGAAGGACTGTAAGGTGTACATGTCCAACTGGCAGGTGTCATCTGACCTTGACCTCATTTTCATGGTTCAGTGGTTATAGTTAAGTTTTTGTGTTTTGGTCTGTTTTTCTTATACTGTATGCAATAGGCCTACTATAGTTGGTGTATGGAATGATTGTAAGGTGTACATGTCTAGCGGGCAGGTGTCATCTGACCTTGACCTCATTTTCATGGTTCAGTGGTCAAAGTTAATTTTTTGAGTTTTGGTCTTTTTTTCTAATACTATATGCAATAGTTCAACTATATTTGGTGTATGGAAATATTTTATGATCTATTTGTCAGTCACACAGTTTTTTTTTTACCTTGACCTCATTTTCAAGGTTCATTGCTCAGTGTTAAGTTTTTGTGTTTTGGTCTGTTTTTCTTAAACTAAAAGCAATAGGTCAACTATATTTGTTGTATGGAAGAATTGTTAGCTGTACATGCCTGCCTAGCATGGTTCATCTGACCTTGACCTCATTTTCATGGTTCATTGGTCAATGTTTAGTTAACTTGGTTAATAATAAGTTTATGTGACAGTTGTAATAAAGCTTTATATTTAGGACTATCAACATAATATCAATGATAAGTAAAGAAGGCGAGACATTTCAGTGTGTGCACTCTTGTATTTCACTGGGAAATCAATGTAATTCATTGCAACCAATGTAATAATTTTTCTTCTTCAGATATCCAGGAAATAAGAATTGTATGTGATCTATTTAAAGATCTTAGGACAGTAGGACCTGGAAGTACTATATTACCAACTTCAAGGTAAGTTTACAGTAAAAACAAAATGAAATATTGCTCCTGCAATTATACAATGGAAACTTGATTATCATCATACCTTTTTTATCCATAATACTTTTAATATAAAAAAAGAGAGAAGATGTGGTATGATTGCCAATGAGACAACTCTCCACAAGAGACCAAAATGACACAGAAATTAACAACTATAGGTCACCGTACAGCCTTCAATAATGAGAAAGCCCTGAGCCACACAGTCTTGACCAAAATATTTTGAAAGTTTGAAATTTTGATAAGAAACATTGATACTAGCAAGTTTAAATACTCTCGTTTCTCAGTTATATGTTATGTTTAATGCTTATAAATGTGATGCAAACATTATAATGGCATGGTAACTTTCCTTTAAGGTGGTATGGGAGAGTCTAAATTAAAAATGATAGAATTTGTTCATACTTTGCCAAAGCGTAGTAAATATCAAAATATGTTCAAAAATATTATAAAAACGTATGGTCACAGCACATTTGTTCAAGCTACAGGTTGTTACAAAATGACATATTGTGTATGGATTATACAGGAAAAAACATCATTATGTGATTAGAATCTAAACTGAATGATAGAATTGTAAAATAGAATACGAAAAGTTAGCTTTTAGAAAATGCTTTGAGAATATCAAAAGAAAAGATAGGGTCACAGTGCGTTTTATCTGGCTAAAATTCAAAATAGCAAAATTCCAAGTAGATTCCTTTAGAAAATGCACTATTTCAGAGTTACTTCACTTAAAATGCCAATTTGAAATTATTAAAATTCAAGCAGAAATAATCTTGTAAAAATATTAATATTTATGAGTTATAATCTTATAAATTTGTTCTTTGAAATGCAAATTCACATAAGTTATCTACATTTCTGCATCTAATTTTGCTAACTTGATTGAAAATCTGGACCTTAGATTCTCTGTTTTTTACAATCCAAGATGGCGAAAGACAACCATACCACCTTAAGCATGTTCAAAATATGCATGATATATTGATCACTGGACATTAAGCATGCAACAATCAATCAATCAATCCTATATGTATATATGGTATGAATCACTTCTGACATATCAAGAATTAAAAATGTTATTTTATCAATTTAATTGCCATGTTTTAATTGACATTTTGTTGTTTCTTTGTAGATTAACTGAGCTTGAGAAATTACAAATCAACTGATACATAAGAAGAGACTTTGCCATGTGGATGAACTTGGAAACAATTATTGACAAACAATATAGTGTATTAGTATTCTTGTAAAAATCAATAGAGAGAGAGAGAGAGGAAGGATAGGAGAGAGTCAGTTGTAAAGATTTATCTCTTTTTAACCAGACATGTCGATTACATTAGAATTTCAGAGGCCTACAGTTCTCCCTTAAATGGTCATAGTTAATACATGAAGTAGTTAAAGTAGAGGACTTTAGTGTGACCAGTGAAAACAATCAGGCAGCTGCCATTGGTTTAAATCTCTTTTTTCGAAGATGTTTTGGTTACATTAGAATAAATCTGTGAGGAATGACAAAAAAAATGTAAAAAAAAATAATTTGTGGTTTTTTGTACAGTTTCATTATGCAATCTTGAATACATTTATGATTACTATTTATAAAGAAGTATTATCATTAGAATGAGGATGGAAAATGTTTAAACATTTATTTGAGACAGAGTTTTGCATTATTTCATTAAAATTATTAAATTCTTTTTGTGTGAATGAAGGACAAACAGGGAAAACAGAAGCTATTCTATGAATTTCAAATTGTATTTATTTACATTTGATTGATTAGTTGAAGATTAACTACAAGTATTCAGCATAGTATAAAATTAAGGATGCACTGCAAGTGTATATTATCTTTATAGTTATCATCACACTATGTCCAATCTAGATGTACAACACTCTTTTTTTATAGTGTTCAGTAAATTATCAGGAACACCAGTTGTGATGAATGGGAAGACTGGCAGGCTGAGAAATGGGTATAAGGGGAGGGAATACCCCTGCTTATCTTTTCATACTGGTTAGTTCCTTTGGTAAAGGTTTTGTACAAATGTTGTTCATATCAGATGTATACGATTTGAAGAGAGTTGTTATTTGGAGCTCTGTAAAAAAAAAAAAAAAAAGAATTGTATAATCAGAGTTCTAGATAATAACTGGGTGGTATGAAATGTGGGTTAAATATTTTCGGTATATTTACAATGATTTTTTTTTTTTTATGCATCTGATATTTTTTGTGTATAAAATGTTTTGTTATTTTTTACAGAATTGCTTTAGTTGCCTTCCTGACTAACATTTATTGGTGAATGGAGAGACTAGCAGGCTGAGATTGAGGCGTAAGGGGAGGGATTACCCCTGCTTTTCTCTTCATACTTGTAAATTCTGTCACTGCACGGAAGGTCAACAATTAAGAATATATAAGTTATCTTTTTTTATGTATCAATGTAAGTTAGAGAAGTTATATCAGATGTATATAAAGTAAGATGAAAGTATTCTTTAGAGCTCTGTAAAAAAAAAAAGCTTGTAAACAGAGGTCTAGATAATGCATTAAGGGGTTTGGTTTGGCATGGGAATTTCAAATTTTATTTACAAGTCATCATCTACAAAAATGCATCTGATATTATTTGCCCAAGCCCAATTTCGTGTCCCAAATATAATGACTACAGAATAATGGTGACAGCTTGGTCAACACCCTTATTTTAAGTTTGATTCACCCCTCCTTTCGTCGCCCACCCCACCCCACCCCAACCCCACCCTTTTAATAAGTAGTTATAGGTTAAGGTTTCTTATTGGGATTAATGATTGATTGATTGATTTTAATTAAGTGTCACAGAATTATTAAGATACTAATTTCTGTGTAACAAGATTAATCTCCAATATTTGAAGGTGTTTTTGATCAAGTTTTATTAAACTCAAAATGTTTAGTATTTCATCAGCTCTGTCGAATACAAAATAGAAATTTACCTCTATAGATATATCTGCATTTTATATGCTACGAAATTTTGCCTGTTTTACAAAGATTTATCTAACAAAATGAAAAACCCTGTCCATGAAATTGATTTAATTGAACTTTCACACTGTTGATAATAACCCTGTTTGTTCATGACAATTTTACATGTGGTAGTCTCGATGTAATATATAGTTCTTCCACTAACAACCCTGTTTGTTCATGACAATTGTACTCTTGAAATATCTGTTACAATTACACACCCATGCTTTTTCCCTATAGGGTTTTTTAATGCAGGGTGCATGTTTTTCTATGTTACCATATGTTTGTCTCTCTTTTTAATAAAGAACAATTACATAGAAATGTTTCTGTTTGTTGAAAAATTGAAAGGTCCTTATTTAGTTCCTCTTCAAAGGTATGAGTTTGTTACAAATATCTTGACCCTAGCATAATTCATCAATTTTGATGACCGACTATGTCCTTGAGGCTAGGTCAGACATCAAAACTGGTATTTGCAGCTTCAATGCCAAGGACACAATCCATTTAGAAGAAGTACTTGTCTGTCATATTTGTTTTTCATATTTTTTACTTGGTTATAAATTAGTCTGTTAATTCTTGTTTGAATCATCTCCCCTTGTTTTGTCCTAGGGATTATATAGAAAACTTCCTGGTATACAGTATTGATTTTGCTCATTGCTGAAGGCTGTACAGCAACATTTAGCTGCTTATAATTAACCTCATTTGAACTTTGGAGCACCTATAGACTAGTTGTCTCATCAGCAATCATACCGCATCTTATTTTATAGACTGGTTGGCTGGAGTCTGAATATTAATTAAGGGTATGTTGATCTAGTTTGAGGTTAAAATGTCGAAAGCCACAGATCAAAAATGGAAGTGAAAGGTTTTTTGGGGAACTTCAAGGAATTATGCTGCAATTTAATCTGTATTTGGATTCATTGGCTAGTGGTAGTAAGTTAGAGAACCACAACCTTCGACAGGAAAACTGACAATTATAGTCCATTAAGATGAGTCAAGTGCACTTGCCACATGCAGGGTTCGAACTTACAACCTCTGCGTTGAAAGGCTAGTGATACAGTAGTTTTAACTACTCCGACAACAACGCCACCAAGGCCTCACCTAAATTTGGATATATGTTATTTAATGAGAAAGATCAAGGTCACATATACGAAAACAAACTAAAAGCAGTGCAGAAGCAGTGTTTTCGCACATAGTCTCGTCATAAGACACAGCTTCTGTATTTCAAGATGACCATATTTCATCTTACATTGACCGATCTAATTTCGACATGAAAACCAATAAACTTTGAACGCCATATCTAGATCACATTTTGTTTTATTTTAGATGTCTTTTCATGATATGGGATTTGTTCTTTAGCTTCGATGTTTAAAACTATGCTATGTATGATACATTCTCCTTCTTCGTGCGTTAAGCAAATGTTCAGTGTCTCATCCCGGGACATCAGATTTATTGCCGCTTTGTGCTTCATTCAGACCTATAAATACCTAGCGATATTCGATGGAGATAAAAAATAGAACCTTCAAGAAACACTCCAAATCAATAGGTGGTGCATGATGCAACAGTACAGGCCTGACAGTATTAGTAACCTACTAGGTATTCACAATTAATATCAGAGGTGGATGTGTGCAGCACATGAGTGGACACAATTTGTTCGCGGTTATTTGAGGATCATTGATATGTTAAACGGATAGAATACGCGAAGGTCACCTTCACAATTTGCGTTCATTAAAAATATGACAAGGTAAGGAAAGTGAAGTTAATGTCACAGACACTAAAGAGCTGCTACTGAGCATGATTTTCTTTAAGCAGAGGAAAAGAGGAAATATACAAAGGCTACGTTCATCAAATACCGTCTAGAGACAAACGCTATTTTTTTCGAACTTACTCGTTGTCGAATTGGAAGACATTTTTTACCAAGCCAACAAAACAAAGGTCAAATCTTTGACGATTAAATTGTGAAAAAGAGACAGCAAAACAATATTGTTATAAGATGTGAAGATACGATCTATTGACAAGATTTCGTTACAGCGTTGCAACTGTAAACGGGTTCATTAGCAACCAGTTTAGGAACTTCTAAGCAAGAAAGAAAAGAAGTTAGCAGTACCCTTTTACTTTACTTTCTGCTATATAGATGTTGTTCTCTTACTAAATCATTCAAAATTTGGTGACTATGTTGAACTCATCTATCCCTACGAACTTGAGACAAGGATACAACAAATACAGTTAAATCGGTATCATATCTTGACTTACATTTAGAAATTGACAATGAGGATCGGTTTAAAACAAAACTTTACGACAAAAGAGATGATTTCAGCTCCATAATTGTGAACTTTCCATTTCTATGTAGCAACATTCCAACAGCGCCTGCAATTGGAGTATATATCTTCCAGTTGATACGATATTTCGGGGCTTGTATTTCCTATCACAATTTCCTTTATGCAGTATTGCTGCCCACAAGGAAGCTATCAAACCAAGAGCTCCAAGTGGTGAAGTTAAAATCATCCATACGCATGCCATCACGAGTTGGTTTGACCGTTATGGAATATCCATTTCACATATGATAACGGATATGTTCCTAATCTCGTTACTACAATCCTGTCCCCTTTTCCCGAATGTGACCTACCGAATTAGACGTATTACCGGGTTTGTACTAACATGAGCAATACGACGGGTGCGACATGTGGAGCAGGATCTGCTAACCCTTCCGGAGCACCTGAGATTACCCAAGTTTTTTGTGGGGTTCGTGTTGCTCAGTCTTTAGTTTTCTATGTTGTGTTTTGTGTACTCATGTTTATAGAAATATGTAGTATAAGTTCTAATGAGACAACTCTCATTACAACATCCAAATGTGCTGATCCCGCCAATGAGCATGGCCGTGGCAGAATGTGGATGGTACCCTAACTCCTAAGTGAATTGATGGAAAATATATTCCCCAAACATTTATTGATGTTTTAGTTGAGGAAGAAAACAATCTAAATGAAAATGAAAATTGTATTAATGATGAAGAAAATGATTGGGAATGAAATGTGTTATACAACAAACTATCGGCATTTCCATGGGAACCAACTGTGCCCCTCTTCTTGCCGACTTGTTCCTTCCTTTATTCGTATGAGGCTGACTTCATACAGGAACTTCTGAGGACGAAAGAAAAGGAGTTAGCAGTATCTTTTAACTTTACTTTCCACTATATAGATGATGTTCTCTCACTAAATAATTCAAAATTTGGTGACTATGTGGAACGCATCTATCCCATCGAACTAGAGATAAAGGATACAACAGATACAGTTAATTCTGCTTCATATCTTGACTTACATCCAGAAATTGACAATGAGGGTCGGTTGAAAACAAAACTTTACGACAAAAAAGATGATTTCAGCTCCCTAATTGTGAACTTTCCATTTCTGTGTAGCAACATTCCAGCAGCACCTGCATACGGAGTATATATCTCCCAATTGATACGATATTCCCAGGCTTTTATTTCCTATCATGATTTCCTTGATAGAGGGTTGCTACTCACAAGGAAGCTATAAAACCAAGAGTTCCAAATGGTAAAGTTGAAATCATCCCTTTGTAAATTTAACGGACGCCATAACGAGTTGGTTGACTGTTATGGAATATCCGTTTCACAGATGATATTGGAGATGTTCCTAATGTCGTTACTTCAATCCTGTCCCCTTTTCCCGAATGTGACCTACTGCATAAGACGTATTACCGGGTTTGTACTAACATGAGCAACACGACATGTACCATATGTGGAGCAGGATCTGCTTACCCTTCAGGAGCACCTGAGATCACCCCCAGTTTTTGGTGTGGTTTGTGTTGCTAAGTCTTTAGTTTTCAATGTTGTGTCTTGTGCACTATTGTTTGTTTGTCGTTTTCTTTTTTAGCCATGGCGTTGTCAGTTTATTTTCTATCTATGAGTTTGAATGTCCCTCTGGTATCTTTCGCCCCTCTTTTATAGGAGTGACAGTGAAGACTAGATAATTCTAATACAAATTTTCCTCATCCCTGTTTCAATACAAGACTTGTTAACAGTTTAATGGTAGTATATAATAGTAAATACATATTCTAATCCTGACATGTGTTGTCCCTGTCGAAGGCCGGTCTATAACCTGTAATATATCTTTTACACATTGTGACTTGGAAGGAGAGTTGTCTCACTGGCAATCATATCTTCTTATTTCTATGTATATTTTTTATACAAAGCAATCAAATGTCCTTTTTTCAACATCTGCCATAAGGGGTAAGGGTAGTATTTTCCTTTTTTTCTTGAATCTCATTGCCCAGTAGGATTCAAATTTGGGGACATATGTGTATATTGTACTGCATTTGCTTTTCAATTTACCATTTTAAACAGCATATTCGCCTCAAACAATAAAAAACAAAAAATACGAAACGATGGAAAATCTAAAATCTTGAAATTTGCCACTTCCTTCATTTTTTACTTTGAAAATTCCCTCAACCATGCAGAATTTATCAATTTATCATGTATATTAAGTGTAAGTTCAAATACGGATATAGACCGTTAAAAGTTTTCTTTTTAAACTGACATATCTTCGCATATGTAAATCGTAGAGGGACAGAGAGGTTATGTACACAGGGAATTATTCCAGCCCACATAATATACAGAAAATCAGGCTATTCAACCATTGAAAAATACACAAATAAACTTCCATTTTTATTTTATTTTGATAACAAATACTGTATACATAAACAACAATTTGTCTGATATATAATGGTAATTAATGGACAGGGGATATGTAGAGGTAGTGATGTGGATTTCTCAACACGAAATCATTTTAATATAAAATAAGCTATAAATCATATATCTCCATCCACCATCACCAGAGTATTACAGTAATACAGTTTTACAAAAGTATGGAATCTCCTTAGAGCAATTGTATGGATCTACGCCCTGTTTGAAGAGAATGAAAGTTCATAGATTTTATTAAGTTTGATCAGTTTAATATTACAGTTGAATATTTTTGATACAATTGTAAGAAGGTAGTAAATGATATCTTTAATTAATCAAGATAAGTTTGAATTTATAAATTTGTAATCATTTTACCAAAAAGAAGATAAGTGTATATAGGGAAACTTAAAGTCATTAAGAAATAGGGTAGCATTAGAAAGCCAAAAATATTTTATCAATTGTATGACTGAACGAAAGTATGAGGAAATATCATATTTATGTATTCATGTTGTTATCTTATCAAATTCGAAAATATGAACAATTGAAATAAATGCAATAAAGTGTTTACCACAGAAAACAAAAAGTTCAACAATTATCCAAATGCAAAGTTGATAAAGATAACTTTATGTAA